GTAGCATTGTGGGTTATATGTTGGGCTGCTCACAGTGGGGTCAGCCGTTTGAAACACCAGCCACTCCTCATGGAAAAGACGAGGCTTCCTACTCCCTTAAAGAGTTGCAGTCTCAGACACCCACAGGGGCAGTGCGCTGTGCTACAGGGTGGCCATGAGTCAGAAACAGCTCAGTGGCAGTGAGTGTTTTTACAGCACTGCCTCTTCTAACCCGAGACCAGAGGAACTAGATGGTGCCCAGCTCTGACCAGAACCCAATAAAAGGTGCCAGAGAGGATGGGAAGAAATGTAAACCTCAAATTCCTCGAAAAAAACTAGACTTACTGGCCGCAAGGAAACGCTGAGATGCCCACCCCAAGACGCCTTTTGAACTTGAAAAAGTCACTCCGGAAGGTCATCTTCCAGCCAATGAACAGATCAGCTTCTAAACAACATCACCTATGAGGAATGAGCTCCCTTAGACAACCAACTATGCATTGACTGGAAAGGCAAGGATGGTAGGGATTGTAACCTATGTTATAGACAGAATCGTGTGTTTTGAAGTTGTCCAGTGAGCCAGGGGTGTGACTAGTCTTGATATCATGCAGAGTGTATTGGAAGGTGGATCTCGCAGATGCAATGAGGTTAAAATTTAACACCCTATCATTGGATCTCCCTTTTGATTACATGTGTTCTGGCTTTTAATATTTTCTGCTTTCTTTTATATTGAAGTTTTTAGCTATTTTGTTATTGTTGTTTGGTTTTGTTTAATGTTTTTCTGTATATGAAATCCAGGATAGGTAAATCTAAGACAGTAACTGGATGAATGGTTCCTCGGGGGTAGGGCAAGGGATGCTGGGGGGAAATGGGGAGCTAATCACAATGAGTATAAGAAGGAAGAAAATCTTCTAAAACTGATTGTGGTCAAGACTGTATAACTCTTCTTGATGTGGCTGAACTATTGAGTTGTATAATATGTGAATTATATGGCAATAAAACTTTTGAAAAAGTTGCCCACTGGGAACCCAATTTGCTATGTAAATGCTGACTTAAAACAGAATTATTACTATTTTTTACCGAAAACAAAAAGAAACCTAGTTCACCCCTTTACCAGCTGTGGGTAAGTGGCTTAACGTGGCTGGGCCTGTTTCCTCATCTGTCAAATGAAAATAATATTGTCACCGAGATGATACCACCCCTCCGTAACAGAGTAAAACTGCCCCCTTTAGACTTGATGTTAATAGTTTTACTAGTATAAAATTCACATATCAGACACTTGCAGTTAAATCGCTTTTTAAAATTGTATCACATCATCACAATCGGTTCTAGTGTTCCCTTCCCTCTCCCACATTCATGATTTTCGACCTAGTTTCCAGCCCCTTCCCCACCCGCTGCCGCCATAAAACCATTACACCAGCTAGCGCCTGTGCTCTTTCCATGCTTCATAAACTGAGGGCCCTAACAGAAACCTTATAAACAAAATGAAACAGAAAGAAAAAATAATAGATACCTCAAGATAAAAATACAACCAAGAGTAAGGGAAAAAAAGACCACGGGCATTATTTTTAAAGGCCAGAAAAGAAATTTCGGTTTTGGGACAAGCGAGAAATAGTTCTGCTTAGAGCAAATTCAAGGTGGATCAAGGAGGAGGTCAACTGACTGTGTATCGTATCACACCGCAGTTCCGACCACCATAATCGAGTTTACAATAGTCCCTGTCTGATAGTAAGGCTGTTTGAGTCCCTTGCCTGTGGCTGGCGGGGATCTGCCAGAGGCTTAAGGTGACTAGATACTCTGCAGGTGGATGTTGGGCGCCCACTGTCCTCCATCGTCTTCTACAAATTGGGTGCTCACAATTTGAGCTCTGATACCTTTCCCTTCATCGCAGTTGGATTTTGTCGTCATCTTCGGATCACACGGGCTAGCACGCTTCTTGGATGTGGACTTCGTTGACACCTCACTTAGAAGTCTGCTTGTTGGAATACAGAACTTCATGGCCCAGAGCCAAAAGAACCCCATCGAGTCAATACTGACTTACAGTGACTGTTTACAGTAGAAAACCCAGTCTTCCTCCGCAGAGCTGCTGGTGGTTTTGAAGTGCGGACCATGCACACTGCAGTCCAGAGCATAACCACGACACCACCAGGGCTCCTTACTAAAACCCCTGACCACTATTCCAATTGATAGCCGGGCACCATCTGCTTTCTTCACCACTCTTTGCTGTAGCACCCTTATCTTCAGTGATCTCCTCGTGAAGGTAAGTATCGAGCAGGGCCATGTCCTAAGAACTGTTCTCAGATTGGGGCTAGAATTAAGTGGAAGCCCAGAATCCACTGCTTGTCCACAGGTTATGCACGACTCTGATGTACTTTCGTGGTCAGATGATCATTTTATGACAAAAACAAAACAAAAAAGAAAAACAATGTCAATTATCCCCTTGGGGTATTTTATCCAATGACATAGAACTTAAGGTACTGTTGAGGAGTGTATTCGAGTATCATGCAGCTGTGGACGGCAAGCCATGAGGTGTTGCAGATAGCATGCTTCAATGATTGAGCTGTTTGCATTGAGCATGGGAGGGGCGGGGTGCTAGGGGAAATTTTCCTGTCACGTGCCTTACAAGGGTAGATCCTATCAAACTTAAACCTGTCATATTAATGCAAAAGGGGCCTTTTGTAGTACAGGTATTGAGGGGGGGGCGCTTTCACTGGACAACCTACTAAGCTCAGGGTCCCACCCAAGATCCAACCACCACCACGTCCACAGTCTCAGGGTGGCCATCCTTTGCTGCTTCTCCCATCAAGGAGGTGAAGTCCTAAGTCCAAGGGCTACAGGTAGTTTTGAGGAAGGGCCCAGTTCGCTCAGTCAGGCTTCCATGTTGAGTCCTTCTGGTGTGGCCCTTGGGCGATGCCATATTCCCTTTCAGGTACTTAGTCCATGGTGTGGTTCACCGCCCCACGGGCTTTCTGATCTGTATGGTGCTGCAAGCGGCCAGCCCTTCCTCCCTCAGAGTGGATCCATTTGAAACATCAACCTGGAGGTGAGTAGCCATGCGCTTGACCTGTTGAACCAGCAGGGCTCCTTCGCTCTTGACTCATGGCAACCCTACAGGGGGGTAGAGCTGCCTCTGTGGGCTTCCGAGGCCTCACCTCTTGACGAGTAGGAAGTCTCGGCTTCCTCCTAGAGTGGCTAGTGATGTTGAGCTGCTGACCTTGCCCTTAACAGCCCAACGCACAGGCACGATGCCACCAGGGCTTCTCATGGAAGCAGATGGTGGCCTTTCCTCCCACTGAGCAGCTGGGGGGGTTCGAGCCACAGACCGTACAGGGGAGCAAACCCCTAATTCCCCACAGCTCCGTGTTCTCTTACTCCGAGGAGGGAGAGCTGCCGGAGGGAGAGCTACCCAGCTCTTCACACAGGTGAATGACAGCGTGGGCAGGAGGAAGCTCTGGAGAACCACACCCCTGGCCTCTCCCAGGTGTTGTGCCTTCGTCCTTGTGGGCTGGGGGATCCGAGCTCTCCTGGGGTGAGAGCAGGGGGTAGGACAGCATCACTGTCAGACCTGCAAGAGTTACAGAACACTAAAGGATGCCCCTCCTGGCTCAGTTTTGGAAAACGTACTTTCCATTCAAAGGTTTATGTTCCCGTGTAATGGGTTCATGGCAGCTTGTTTTCAGATAATTCAACAACTTCCCAGAACTGTTTTAAATCAGATTCTGCTATCTAGAGTTAGATTGCAAGTCTGGTCCACCCCACCCCATGCTGCTCCAGGGTGTGGCCATGCCCCAGGCTGCAGACCACCACTTCCTTCTCCAGAGGCCGGAGCCCCTGGGGGAGTTTGTTTCCCCGTAGATGATTTGTGAACTTCTACGTGGAGCCCTGGAGACCTGGGGGCAATGCCCTGGGTGGCTTCACAAGGTCAGCAGTTTCAAGTTCAGAGCCAATCCCTGGGAGAAAGATGACTGCTGTCTACTCCAGTTAAGTCTTAGAAACCCTGCCCTACAGGGTGTATGGCAGTGTGGTGTCTTGGTTTGTGGGGGTCTTTTTGGTTTGCTGGGGGGGGGGGGGGGGCTTCTATGTGGACAACACCCTTTCCCAGATACTAAGCTGGCTCTCTGATGCAGTTATCAAACTCTACCTTCTAGCTCCCCTCCACACCCTCCCCTTCTTCCTCGTTTTCTGACTGCTGACCCACCCCTACTTTTCAAATGCTGTTTCCAGCTAGCAAGGCTGTGTCAGATGACGGGGAATGCAGGACCCCCAGATCTGTCTTGGAAGCCCAGCCAGGATTCCCCTCAGAAGCCATGATGGCGAGTCCTGCTGTGGACAGAGGCGGTGGCCGGTCCCTGGAGGACTGCATGCCAGGTAGAAGGGTCGACAAAAAGAGGTGACGCAGCAGCTGCAACGACGGGCCTGAACAGGGCGAGCGTGCAGGACACGGGGAAGCAGGACCCTCCTAGGACAAGTCTCAATGGGTGACTGATGGCCAGGTTTCTCCCTTGGAAGCAGCTGGGTGTGTTAGGCACTCTGGCCTTTCCATTAGTTAGCAGCCGCACCACCAGGGCTCCCGAGGAACACAGAGCAGTTACTAAACCGGGGCATGGTTTTTTGAGCAGGAATACTGAATCCCGGAAGGATTGGGTGGCAGCAAACCGCTTTTCCTGTTGTTGCTTTGGCTGGCTGCGAGGCCACCATAGGCTGATGCTTAGTAAGAAGTGCTTCCCGGCCTGTGACAAAGCCACGCTCCTGTATTTGAGGGATGAGGTCACGCTAGGGGGCTGCAGGGACAGGTTGGCAGGGGGTTGCTATGTGAGAAGGACCCGGGCTGCTTACACACTTCTAATTTAGTGCACGTGTACAGCTAGTTACCGAAAAGGTGAATAGGTCTCCCACAGAAAGCAGGAACACGGTAATACAAGACCAAAGCCAAGATCGCAAAACACCCAATCTGTATTTACATCCACTTATAATAACATAACTTTATTAAGCTGAAATATATCATAAATAAAACAAGTAATGTCTACTGTTCGACAACTTAAGTATCAACAATTAAAATAAATCAAACTGGAATGAAATAAATACACAAACAAAATTCCAACAAATTGTACCTCTATTGTGTGTACTGTTGTCTCAAAGAAGGAAGGGGGGTACAAAACCAGTAGTACTCCAATAACTAATACTGACGGGCAAAAACTATGGATTTTGTGGTAAAGGGCTGGGCATGGGAGGGACTTTTGCTTTTCCATGCATCCAGAAAAGTGGCTGGAAAAGAGAAATCTGAAAACCCTCAGCATTTCTGCACAATACAAATTACATTTTCGGATAGATTCGGTGACTTTTCAGTTACATTTACATGTCAGCCCTCTTTTTATCACATGCCCCCTTCGCATTTACAGTTCCAGGGTGTTTCCTGCAGCACTCGGTGAACTGGGCCAAGACTGGGCTGCAAACATGTTCCTCCTCAAAACGAGGCTGAGTGCAGACCTCAGAGAACGAGATGATGCACACATGGCTCAGCTTGCGAACAGGAGGGAGGTCCACAGTGTGGTTCCCAATCCGAAGCCCTCCACTGCGGCGCCCCCAGGAGGGGCTCTCTGCCCCGGCCCCGCCTCACCTCCCACTGGGGCCTCACCTCCCACTGGGGCGTGGGAGCGGGAGTTCCCACCGCGTTGCATAATGAGAATCAGGACCCTTCCCGGGTTTTACTAAAATATTTTAGGTCTTTGCCCTTGCTCTGTGCAAAAGGGCAGGGCAAAAAATAAATGAACAGTGCAAACTTACTTTTGAGACGGTTCCTCAAACATTAGGCCAGGGGGGTTGGCTCCCCTGCCCTCCCACCCAGGAAGGCCCCCGTGTTTGCACATGCACTGAGAAGAGCACTATTGCTTCCAAATCTCCGGAAGCGGGGAATGTTAGAGAGGTGGGAAGAGCGAGCAGGGAGAGCCCAGTCTTCCCTCCCCAGGAGGCTCCGGCAGCAGATGCCCATTCCCCACCAGTGTGCCTCTGCACCATGGCGAGACCCCTAGTTACCCAGGGTGCCCCACACCCCCAGACCTCCTTCCAAACACAAGGCCAACATGTGCAGAAATATGTTCCTTCCTCTCGAGATAGCCTCCCCGCACACGCAGCGAGCCTTTAGACATGCCAACGTAGGCAACCGCCCGGTCCCTCTCCCACAATAAATGCAATCTTGCCCAAAGACAATGTCAGTCAGCAGCTCCACCTCGGCATAGTGACGGTTATTCAGCACCGTGCCACTCTACAGAGGAAAGGGCTCTCTGTAAATGCGTGCCCCCGCCCCCCAGGAAAAGCCCGGGTTCCTCAGGAGCAAGGGGACCATGGCAGCCCTGGGGCCACCTGCGGAGCGGCGGTGGTGGTGGTGGGGGGACACAAGGAGGCCCAGTCCTGGGCGGAGAGAGGGCACAAGTGGACAATGGCTTGTCTCCATCTGTGCAGCACAGGTTGATAGAGGGGGTGGGCACTTCCATTAAGACAACAAGAGATTGTGGAGGATTTTAATATCATACAAGTCATTTTTTTTCCTTAAAAAAACACATTTTAAATGAAAGCATAAACTATTAAACTGCTCGACGTGGTGAGCAAATAGACAGGGGCGGGGGGAGATACATACAATCTTTTTTAAACAAGCAGGTTTCCAACAGAATATATTTACAGATTTTTTTTTTAACCTGAGGTGCAAGCGTTACATACTTTCCCCGGCCCCCACCCCACCGTCTCCTTTCAGCAGCGCGCTCAAGTACGCAAAACAAAACCGCAACACCCACCAACGTTCTATTTGGTCAATTCTAAAAAAATATCGTTCAGGAACAAAATAGAGATTTCTGGTCTTCGTACGTATACAACCCAACACTAGTTTTTATTGCTATTTGGTACAAAAGTGAACAGAGCGACTTCACACAACTGTAGTGTTCGTGTATGTCCCAGGCACAGTACAATCACAGCTTAAGTCTCAGTAGCTTTCCGCCTCCACTTCCTCTGGCGCCCAACTGAGGGGCTTCGTTCGGTGGGGAGTTCTCGAAGCCGAGCATCCAGACTCCCGCAGGCTGGAGACTGAGGGGGAGAAACGTTTGAGAAGGTGAGGCTCGAAGGAGATTAGGTTATTAAATGCCTGGTCTTTTTTAAAGTGGGTAAGGAGGAGGGAGGTAATAAAAACAAGTAAATAAACCAATCGACGAAGGCCGAGAAAGGCGGCGGGTTCCACTGAAGCTTTACTTCCCAGACTCAGGAGGTGACGGCAACCTGCGCAGCACGAGCCCTGGGCTCGGGGTCAGAATGCCCGCCTCGGTGACACAAAGTCTGCCAGACACAAGTGCTTCCAGCCAGGAACCGCAGGAACGGGCACTCCGAAGCACCAGCTCTGGAGTCTGGCGGGACCTGCAGCTCCCACAAAGCGGAGTTGGGGGTGGGGGTGGTTTGAGCAAGTTCCTCACCCCTGCCAGATACAAAGGCCCAGCTCTACCGGCAACTCGGGCCCAATGTGGCCAGCCTCACAAGGCCAGTACTGGACCTGTCTCCTGGACTCACTCAATGCCAACGCCGTGCTGGGGAAGCAGCCACAGGCTGTGCGTAAGGAAACGGGCAGGCACGTGTGGCAATAAAACTTTCATGACAAAAAGGCAAGTGAAGGGAAATTTGCCAATCTGTGTCATCTTGCTGTGACGAGAATTAACTCTAACTCCTGGACAGCAATAGAAAACCTCATCTTTCTCCCTCGGAGTGGCTGGTGCTTTTGAACTGCCAACCTGACAATTAGGAGCCCAAAGCAAACCCTCCACGGCACCAGGGCTCCCAAGCCTAGCAGAATAAAGCAAATACACAAGAACCCAAGTGTGACTATTGATGCTATTTTCCACAAGTATCAAGACTGAGACCAGGGACACTCGGGATCTACGTTTTCACACAGCGAAATAAAAATTAACAATCAAAATCAACTTTACTAGATACTAGTAGGCACATAGCTGGTGTCCCTCTTCCAAAACATTAGCCTCATGGGACAGATTGAAATAAAAAACACATGCTCACCTTTCCTCCCAAAATAGGAAATCAAGTTTTTTTGTCATTTGGTCGGTAATGTGCATTCCCGATAAAATTTTCATAGTTTCTCTTTTGGAGTAGGCTGCTGGATAAGTGTTGATACGACACAGGCCGTTTTCCTGATTGGAAAAGCAAACAGGGTGGGGTGCATTTAGAGCAAGGTCAAGCACTAAGGTGAGGTGCCCCAAACCTGCTGCTGGCTGACAGTCCACACCGGCGCACCACAACCCTGCAGGGCAGGGGCACACCGGCTGCTAGAGGGACCTGAGCTGTGGCCTTAAAGCAAGCTGACCACCACCACCCTTTCTCCCTCGGACATACTGGATGGTCTCCAAAGACCAGCCTCTGTGCTGGCAGCTGGATGCTTCACTGCAGCGCCACCAGGCTCTGGGGAGCAGTGCAGTAAAAGCCAGTGCGGTGCGATGTTCAGGGCAAACAGCCCCTTCACGTCACCCCTAGCGTTTTTAATCTGGAGAAAGACTGCAATGTGAGACTACGGAGTGAGGCCTCCTGAGGGAAGACCGGGTGGGGCTTTGGAGGGCTACTGGCCACTGCGCCCTAGCTATGAAATGCTCTGGGCCCCAGCGCAAACCACCCCCTGGGGGACTGGTTCGGGCACCATACCTTCGAGCGCTGCGCTGGCCACCTGGCTGCTGGGGGGAGCACAGGAGGGGTACAGCGGCCCGGCACCACCATAAGGCTTCGGGGTGGCCAGCCCATTGGGCGAGTCGGCCTCGCTGGGGCTCAGGAACCTGGACTTGGAGGACAATACTGACGGGGGCGGGCGGACGAAGTCCTGGGGCAGCAGGCTGGAGATGGTGCGGGCATGGTACTTGGGGAGGTCGTAGCCCCTTCGGGAGTAATGGGTCCCCGGCTGGTCAGCCTCCAGGGTCACCACACTCGATGATTTCAGTCTCTTGGGCGGCAGCTCGCCAAACTCCCCACTGGCACCACCGCCACTACGGGTGGAGAAATACTCCCGGCCGGCTGGGACCCACTGGCTGTCCTGCTTGGAGGGGTGGTCGGCAGAGCCAGTGACATGGCCGCTGCCCAGGGGGGGCTGGGGCGGGGCCCCCACTGGAGATCTCAGTTTGGTCTCGGGCCTCTTCGTCTTGTCTGGCGCTGCAGCCGCACCGGCCTTCGAGAAGATCTCCGGCACCTGCTGCCGGGGTGGTGCGGCCACTGGCCCTCCAGGGCCGGGCTGTGACCGGTGGGCCTTCAGGTTACTGGGGACTAAAGTGCTGCCGTTTGCACCCGAGGCCAGTGGGGGGGCCTTGTCCGGCCCCAGGGCACACTGCCGGGCCTTCTCGGGCGGCAGGACCTTGGCCTGCATGGGCCCGGCAGCCTTGGGCTTGGCCTTGTGCAAGGTGGACATGGGCGACACATCCTTGCCCAGCAGGGCAGGAGGGCACCCTGTGCGCCTGTTTCTCAGCTGGGCCTTGTTCCTACAGTTTTTGTGAATGTCGGGGTTGTACTTGTGCTCCAGTCTCTGGTGCATCATTAAGACCTCGGGGTAAAACGTCTTGAAGGTACAAAAGGGGCAGGTGATGGTGGGGATCAGGTTTTTGCCCAGTGACATGGCCGGGCCGTTGTGCAGGGGTCCCCGGGAGAGGTTCAGCGGCTTCTCCTGGCCCTCGGCCGAGGCCTTACTTCTGCAGGGGCCAGCGGCCTCCCTCGGCATTTCTCGGCGGCTGCCGTCCACGGAGGAGGTGCTGCCATCGGGGCGGGCAGTGGCAGCCCCCTCGGGCTGACCGGGGCGGCCAGCCTGCAGCTCCAGCACAGCTCTCTTGGTTAGCGCGTCCAGGAAGGCAGTGGTGGGCCTTTTGCTCACTCTGTCGTCGGGCAGGTTTCTACGGAGGTCCTGAGTATCTTTGTGGGCTGGTGAGAGAACCATGCTGCTGAGAACATTCTGGAAGGTGGAAGGCACCGTCTCCTTGAGTTGCTTTGTGGGGGGACTGCCTTTCCCATCTTTGGCACCGTCAAAAAGCCTCTTCAGACTTTTGGTCTGCACACTCTCGGGGGCAGTCGGCGCGTCCTCGGGCTCCTGGCTCCTCCCGTCACTCTTGCCCTCGGTGGAGGTGGCAGCAGCCAGCTCAGGCTGCTTGTCCTTGTGATGTCTCTCCAGGTGGTAGCGCAGCGAGGTCTTCTGAGCGGCCGCGTAGTCGCAGAATTCACATTTGTACGGCTTTTCACCTGCAATGAGACACGCCGCTGCTGTATGCAGGACTCGCCGAGGGCTCCCCTAGGGGCTCAGGACCTCGTGCCTGTGCCTTCTCACGTTTCCCTTCCCAGGCTCTCCCACCACAGCACCCTTTTGCCTATGGCTAGACTGGATGTCTTGGAACCGTGAGGTCAAGGGGGGAAGATCCACAGGGAGAAATGACCACCTAGTTGAGCCTGAAGCCATTATGAACCCCAGTCTGGCATTAGCATACACTGCTTCTCAGCTTCGTGGACGATCACAGCGGCTTCCTGCTGTCCAGCTAATGGCACGAGGCACAGAGGCTGAGGTTGGTTCACCTGCCCCAGGTTGCACAGCTAGCGAGTGGCGGGGTCCACACAGCCACCTGGGCCCCTGTATCTCCCCCAGTCTTCTCTCACCTAAGACCACTCACTGTGTATTCCTGCCGGACCCCATTCATACAACTCAACACCGAAACATGCTGGAGGCAAGTTAAGAAAATCTCAGGGCAAGGAGGGTCATCATACGCACCACACCAAACCAGCTTCCACACTGGGGGGAAGGGGGTCATGGACCGAACTCAGGGCGACCCTACAGGACAGGTTCCAACTGCCGCTGTGGGCTTTCAAGACCATGGCTCTTTGCGGGGGTCGAGTCCCCACTTTCTCCCGCAGAGCAGCTGGCTGATTTCGAGCTGCTGACCTTGCAGTTCGCAGTCCAGCAAGCAAAGTGACCACTCAGCCACCGGGGCGCCACAGCAGAGGGACACAGGTCCGCTGGGGTGCCAGCCCAACAGCGCGCTGGCTGGCCGGTCACTCCCTCCACTCACACATTTCAAACGACACCCGAGAGAGGTTCTTACCTGTGTGCGTTCTAAGGTGAATATTGAGGTAGTAATTTGAACGGAAAAACTTTCCACAGTAACTACACTCTCTGGAGGACGTAAGGTGTTTTACTTTTCCAGCGTCGTAGCTTTTATCTTAAAATGGAAAACAGAGTGCATGTTAAGAAAGCAGCCGCATCCCGGGCGCCAGCCGGCCTGTGCGTGGCCCATCCACCTTCCTGGTCCATAATTCGGCCTCCCTGCTCCCCACCTTAAAGATTTTCGTCCCTGGACAATACAGATGAAACTAATGGAAAACCATTTTGACAGACCAGCTGGAACGCAACAATAAAGTACACGAGCAGGGGTTTTAAAATAGTATGGCCAGAATAAGGTGACCAGATTTTAACATTGGTAAAGCGGGACACCATCGATAAAAGTCATATCCTGGCGAAATAGCCACATGGCAGCCAAAAACCGTATGCCCTAGCTTGTGCACTCTTTCCAAAGTTCGGGTTTTTAAAACGCCGCGGGAAGATTGTTAAAAAGTGGGATGTCTGGTCACCTTAGGCTAGAAGCATTTTTCTGAAACCATGAAGGTGCTGGGGTGGAGAGGTACTAGGATTAGAGCACCCCAAATATTCCCCGGGCCCAGGCTTTTGTCTTTTTTCTGGGTGTTGGAGGTTTGGGGCTCCTGGTCAGTCCACACCAGGTGGGACGCCCCGTGGGCAGCCTTGTGCAGGGAGCCCCCCCACTTTGAGGGAAGCCAGCTTCTTGAGCAGGGGCTCGACCCGCAGCGAGCCTCAGCCACCAACTCCTCTCCCGGCCAATGGGCAGGGAAGGGGCTTCCGCCGTGGAGGTCACACAAGCCGGCCACCACTAGAGGGCAGCAGGCACAACCTGATCTGCAGGAGAAATCAAAGGAAAAGCTTGGGCATGAAGTGCTCTTGGAAAGCTCGTCAGAAATAGCTTCCTTTGTCCACTTCACAAGGTACACCTGACAGGCCAGGAGCACGCATGAAGCTGCGCCCACTGCCTCATGATCAATCGGGTCAGCCGCTCACGGGCCCCAGTGCCAGAGTCCATTGAGGACACAGATGATGATGAGTGTGCGCATCGCCTCACCCCACTGCCATCGCAACTCACAGCAACCCACCACAGCATGGCAGAATGGTGCCACCAGGGCTCCCAAAAAAAAGACCATGCCGACCCCTCCCCCTCAGCGAGTTAGTTAATTGTGCCAGCCTGGCCGATAATCACATGTGGGGCTCATTGAAAGGTGGAGGGATAAATGGG